TCTTCTTTTTCACAGTGACTTTTGCGGTTTCGTAGCGGAACCAGTCATTCGGTACTGCTCTCAGAATTAACCTCTACTTACAGCTTTATCAACTGCAACTGTCGTTCTTTGAAGACAATCCCTGCCATTTGTTTCTTCCACGAACATTCTACATCGTAACGCATACTCTTATAGTATATTCGAATTTATGTATGCAAAATATACAAATTGCGATGATCATCGAACGATCTGTCGCCACAATATGGGTGGACACCTATGAGAAGAAATGCCGATTACTAGGCGCTATTCTCGTCACTATTACGGTTGGCATTTTACACAGCGCTTTCGACGTTGATAGATGCCAGCTAGGGTACGCCACGTATTCCGCCAAACTCGAGTTTCGAGTTTGGCGGATTACGTGGCGCAACGTTGTACGTTGTACGAAAACCATTAGGGGGGGGGGATCTTAGTTAGCCGCTAAGGAGGGGAGGGTGGTCGTAAACGCAGGGTTGGCAACGTACCGAACAGTGCCAGTGGGGCCATAGATTAGTTTTGTGGAATGGAACCAGAGCGGCAGAGAACCCGGATGAGTGGAGGACTTCGAAATATCAAAATAATTAACTAACAATATTAATAGTTAGTAAGTACGTAGACGACTGGATAATACAACAGAAGAATGTCCGTTCGTATCGACCCATCGAACCCTATGAGGACATCTGCTTGATAGACAAAACTTGCTTACCATTGACATTTACACTTTTCCACACCTCTGAGGGGGGGGGGGGCGTCATGCACGGCGCATACTCAGACGAAATCGATCGATGATGACCAGCTATTCTCTTATTCGTTTTAACGAGAATGTGTGATTTGAAGGCATATTAATGTTTCTACGTGAGTATTCTTACAATGGCACGGGAAGAAAGTCGAGCATTCGAGTGCCTCGGGATGGTTCGCCCATAAAGACCTGTGAATGTCTTCGCCGCGCCAAACAATTGGATCTTTCAGAAAACCTGTGCAATTAACGGGAAGGAGACCGAACCGGAAAGGCGGAGACAGAGGTACGATTTGAATGTCGGGTCTCCGTGTGAGCAGCACAGCACCACGCGGTTGTGAACCTTTTGTAGCGTATTGTTGTGGTATACGCATGAACGGGGATTTCGCGAACGATAGCTGAACATGGAATCGGCGATATAATCCGCAAGCGAGAAATTCGTTATGTTGCAGCTCATACCGGCGTACCACAGCCTGAAATGTACGCGCTCGCTGGGAATATAAGGCCGCTCTTCTAAAGTTAGTTGAAGCAAACGCCACGGCGGATGAATATACGCAGCCAGAAGATTTGTTTCTGGCCATACTGAAGAAGGACTAATGTTTGAAGGACTTCGCCGACGATCAAACCCTTTTTGAAACGTTTCACAGGATTCCACCATACTTTTACAAGGAATCATAGTGGGTTTTTGAGGCGATATAGCCTATGCAATGCTCAGCCCAAGTATAAGCGTTTGTTTCTACCGCAGAAGAATCCGGTTTGATCTTACCCTCTCTGGATGGTGGAAGGCTTGGTTGGCCCGAGCGACAGCCGATTTGAGATTTTACCTCCATCATGTACGCGTCGTAATCGGCCTACTGTCACTGCGCCACCTCTGTCCTTCGCACCATACGGATGTCCTCATCGTGTTCCCATGGGAAAGCTACTTTCTGGCAGAATGAAGATTCTGACCCAGTCGTTTAAAAGTGATGCAATGGTGGGTAAATACTGAGAGGGAAACCGCAAAACGATGGCCATGGGAATAACTGGCTCTGGAAGCATGGGTATGAGAAACTGGCGCATATATTTCTTACCAATTCCCTCTGTTTAACGAGAACAACTCGAAATGTACCTTTCTGAGAGCTCTTTTGAACCTTATGACATCTGAACATTTCAATTTTCAGCTGTTGTTGACAGCTTTCGAAACTGGTCAGGGATACAGTGATATATTCGCTAATTATTTAATGGCAAATAGTCTGATGATCACCGAATCGACGGCCGGGCGAGTGACGACCTTTTTTGCTGTGATTTTCGTTCTTTCCTGCATATCAGTGCTGATTATCATATCACAATACTGCTTCAGTTTACATCAGAGGAAACGGTAAGAGGCACTTCTGCAAGACATTGGCGCTCTCGGTATACGCCGTGCATCCGCGCCTGCGAAAGTTATGGAGCTCTAGGTCAGCATCATAAAGCACACATTCCGACGAGTTCAGAACAAACGCTACCATGTGGGCATTCTCCAAGTCCGAGCCGCTTTTCTTGAACTTCCTCACCGATATCCCGCCTACAGCTACAGGACAGACCTGCGAACAGGAAAAACGAATAAGAGTACACATTCCCCGGTCCTATAGAAGACCGGGCCCGCCCCAGCCCCATCACATCCAACTTGACATGCGAGATGAGAGCTTTCACCCACTCCGTAATATATTTCTGACCTTATATCCCAGTGTAATTTATCGTGATCAATCGAATATGCTAAAAATCTTTCGAAAAGCTCAAGGCAAAAGTTTCGAAAATTCTATGAAACGATAATTTTGCGAGAATAGGGATAAATCCTCAAGAGTTAGGAACGAGTACACCCTGAGACAGGAGATCGGATCATTTTCCGACCTTCGAAAAGCCTGAGAGCTCACTCTGATCGCCCTATTTTTAACAGTTGGTAATCAAGATTTCTTCACCTACTCGGCACAAACGAAAGGGTCACTCTTGTTCCATAAAAAACCTGAGCTTTTCAAAATTTCTAGGAGCCTTCGGTAGCTCGCATGTTCTCTCTGCGCCAGCCATCTTTCCTGGGAACTCGTATATCCTCCTCGGTGTCATGAATTGGGGGGAGTTCTCATGCAACGGTTGTCCGACTGGGCTCGCTTCCAACAAATCCTCTCGTTTTGGATTCAGGTTTCATATTGAAGGTCAGATGCTTTAGATCTTTATATACTGTTACATTACATGTGTCACACATTACACATTTGTCCCCTCCCCCGGACCGCTATACCAATCTTCCACGTCTTGCTGTCCGAACCTTCCAAATTCAGTAACTTTCTTTCCCCTTTCCAGCCTCTGCTTTCCGCATGTAGAGAATGACCAACGGTCCGCGACAAATCCCACCACCCCCAGATAACCTCGCCCACCTTCACTCCTTCTCACCACAGTCGTATGTCTACATGAGGTCATTCCCTCAAGGGGCTTTCATACTTTGCTACCAGCGAAAGTCATGCGGTTTGAAAGTTGCGCAGTTTGGGATTGCGGCATTGTAACTTCTTCAGTATAGAATTTTTCAAACGAAATCAAACCATCTCAGGAAGCGATATCTGGAGAACTTCAGGAGAACGTTGACTTCTCGCTATCAAAATTCTGAGAATATTTTCACATCGGGAATGCTCTGCGTTATTTCGACAGTTCAACTGACAACATTCGCCATCTATGGCTTTTTTATGGCTTATTTTCATATGGTACTCTACGATAGCCCAATGTACGACCCATATAAGGAATGTGTCTATGTGAGTGATGCGGTCCTATTGACCCATGAACAGCTGAATCAAAATAATATTGAGAGTAACTTCAGTTTTCAGACAGTCCCTCTGTGCACACTACTGTTACCGTTCGCTGCAATCATCTGCATAGAAGTGTCGAAGCGAAAACGGTTGAATGGGATCCAATCAATGGTTACGGTAAGAGCGGACAGAAGGGATAGCCCGAAGTTTCTCGCTAAAACTGAAGTATTTTAGATGCCTACGAGTGGTACAGAGGGCTGGCGGAACTATGAACAACAGCTAAGACAACAATGGAATTGACAGTAATCGCACACTGCCTGGAATCAAAGCTCCCGCTTTATCCTTTGAGGGAAAACCCTCTGAAACAACGCTTCGTTCCAATACCTCACTGACCAGTGATTATCATATGATGATTACCACTATCTAAGTTCAAGCCTATCCGTGTAAATGACCCAGCTCATATCGGTTTAACTTCCTTTTTGCTGTGAATTTCTGGAACTCAAAACTCCTCTAATGGTAAGCAAACAATCCTGCCGGGTGAAAGGGAGTTAGTGTCGGATTCCTAGACAACTCTCACATTCCTCATTATGGTGCCGTCAATTGAAAAAGTGTTGAAAATGAAAAGTGCTCACGATTGTGCTTTGATTTCCTTCACTGTGGTGCCACCGGTAATCTTTTAGAGCGAAAACTCGTGAGAACAGAATGTGTCCATTCTAATCGTGTAATCATCACATCTTCATTAAAATAGTAAATATTGATAATTGTAGCCCAGCTGACTGAAATGCACAGAATGAAGCCGATTGAAACTGCTCAAAATTTATTAAACTAACGATGGCATGGGTAGGACCTGTTGTTGGGACAGGGGCAAGCGTGGCATCTGAGACTGTTACCCCACCCGACACAACTGACCCTGACGGGTTCTCCACACGACTCCTAATGCAACATGTTTTGCCGGGCAAGCGATCAACTCTGTCTTGGGCGAAAGAGCTGTCGCTAGGTGTGGGGAACCCTCAGAGGTGAGACTGTTTCTGACTGATGAGACTCCAAGACTGTTTGAAAGGTGGGAGGCTGAAGCAATGAAGTAAGAAGGTCGAACTAGCCCCTCCCCGTCCCGTTTTCCTTCTCCTTTTGAACCCTGTGAACCTGAATCCTGGAAGTTTGTTCTAATTAAGAAGTATATGCACAGCGCACGAAACATATTAAGGGAGGTGTTGAACTAGAAATAGAAACGAAGGGAAAACAGAAGATTCTGCAACAACTGAGAAATATTATCGCAGGCACCATTATCCAAGCAACCTGATCATACTCTAAGTTGGGCTACTGAAAAACTGTGATTGAGAAAAAGAAAAAAAGAAAAGGACAAAAGAAAGAAAAGAAAAAGAAAAAGGACAAGAAAAAAATCTGGCGGGACGAATAGGCAGATCCGCAAGTTAGAGGCCTGCAGATGTGTGGGAAGATCGATTCTCCGGGTCAGTAGGTATCCTTTGGCAGCGAAGGGAGGTCACACACCGTATGGGAACGAAGAGGGAATGTCAATTTAGCTAAGTTGACCTCACTTAGCACCTTTCCGCCCTCGCCTGTGGGGACACCGGTGAGATCGCCTGTGGGGCGACCTTGCCTAATTGGCTGCGCTGGCTGGTGCCTCTCACCAGATTCCAGCTCAGTGAATATTATTGATAAATAGAAGAAAGGGGAAATTCAAGAGTTAGGAGAATTAAAGTCACTTAAAGGTTCAGAAACACACGCTTGAATGGAAAATGGGTCTGGAAAATGTGAAGAACTTACCTTCTACGCTATATGGATGACAGAAGTACTTACGAACTGAGTTAAAGGCAAACTAGTTAACAGCAGATCACCCTTCGCACATCATTAGACACCTTGCTTGATTCTGCTTGATTTCTGCTATTTGCTTGATTCCCTATCAGACCCTCTTCGAAGGTCAATCGTGTCAACAAGTGTTTAGGCTGAAGAATTGCATTGAACAGCACCTTTCCGTGTTTGTGTCTCAGCATGATTTCAGGCTGACGGCGACTTCTCTACTCGGTTCTCCTCAGCCATACCTTCTCTGCAGGACCTAGTGCGTCTATGTACAGTACCTATCATGTCAACACTCCCCAACCCCTTACCCTCCACGGCAACACTTCACAACTCCATGAACCTTCATGTACACGGCCTCTACGATCGACACCCCGACTACACCTGCCCATTCCTTCTCCATCATACAGTGTATATGGATCTTTTACAGACACTTACTACAGCACAAGGCACGCGGCCACTCCTTCACTCTATACGTCTTCAGCTTTACCACAGATGCCTTCTGCGAAAGAACCTGCGCCTACTACATTTGTTGCACTCCTCCCCTCTTTGCAGACACCTACAACCATCTTTCAGGTACCTTAGACGCCTCAGCTTCTCCTGCTGCTGCAGTAGATCAAGGTGTACAGCGATGTTATTATTAATATTAGCCTAATAAAATGACATTAATGAATATTGATTCAGTCCCTCGTTATGCTTTGAGATGAGCATTATAACAAGAGGTCACTCACTTATGAAAGGGCTCCCCACTGGCAAGGCACACGGAGATGTGCCAGCTTATTACTGACTTAGCTAAAGTTACACACCCGAACGAAGAGAGTGATAGCCCCAAGCTGATGGGAACGAAGAGAGTGATAGCCCCAAGCTGAAAACGTAGTTAAGTGCTTCATCTTCTCATTTAGGTTAAATAAGCACCGAATTTAGAAAACAGTTGGTCGGACCCTTCGCATCCCAGTGAAGAAGGAGAACATTATTGCTTGTTTTCTATTAGATATACTAACATAGATACTGAGCAACAAGTGCCACTAGAAGTATCTGAAGCATTCGCCGGTAGCTACGACACAGGACATTAAAGACAGCTCCCGCGATAAAAGTCTCATGGATAGCTGCTTTCCAATTATGAAACAGTAGCTGATAAGTAATCTCCCAAAGAAGAAAACAGGCAAGAAGCGTCCTCCAGAACAACATAAACAAAATCGCTCCCTCACAGTCACACCTCCCTGCGGTCTCTGTGCAACCCCTAGCTCACAAATCTCTCTATCACATCTCGCAGTAGTTGATATCATCCAGTGCAAAAAAAGAATACAAAAAGAAAACAACAAAAACGCAGAGGAAAAACTCTTGGAAGGAAAAAGGAATTTTATCAACGCGGTGTCTGAATTTGGGATTACGGTAGCGCACGTTTTGTGCGTCGAGGTTTTGCATCACGAAAATTGCGTCACTCGTGCTTTTTACGCGTTTCACCTCGCGAAATGAGTTGAATTGAATGTATATACCTCCAATGAGTAAACTGTAATAAAGGGGAGCAGAATTATCCATGGGCATTAGCAATGCCCGCCGCCCCGACTAAGAACAACTGAGTGGCCTCCGTCGGAGGACATCTAGCAAGTAAGGCGGTCCAACTGAGCAGGCGTTAGAACTAGAACTTACAGCGGCTGTAGCTCGCTTCTCGCTCGCTGTGCAGACGAATAGAGTGGGACAGTCTCTAGCTTGGGGGCTGTACTACTTGCACAAGGAAGGACGACCATGTACTACTCGAGCGCGGGGGCTGTCTTTAAACTCGAGGCAGCTGAAAC